GCATCATTACTTATAAAATTTCTGAGCTCAAAGATAGGTGAAGTAGAACATCTCGTTTTCTTCATGGATAATTGTCCCGGGCAAAACAAAAACTTGCTTTTAATGTTTTTATGGTGAGTGGCGGACCCACTTACCTTCCCTCTGACAGGGATTTTGCTCTTATAGAAAAACGACGTAGAAAGTATGCTCCGCTTGTGTACTCTCCTGAGGAGTGGCATACAATTATAAAATAATTTAATAAAAATAAGCTCTTTAACTTAACTGTTATGAAGCACTTAATGTACAACCACTCTTAGAGAACATTAAAAAGAGTACTCGCACTGATGACCAGCAATCTTTGGATTTTTCCAATGTTTTTTCCTTTTTATTCAAGAGTCATAACAGAAAAGCATTTTAAGTTAAGAATTTTGTCAATGGTACCTACACTCCCGTTACTGTTGTCAAGAAGGGACGTCCAAATATGCTTTCTGTATATGATTTACAACAGAAGTATATTGAGCCCATGTGAGATCATTATTACCGTACGTTCAGTGTGTCATCCCCTCTACAATAGTTTACAAGAGGATGTCAGCCCTGATGTTGCTGATGAGGTCGCCGAGCTGGTTGATTAGGTAAGATTTTGGCCTACAGAAAAAAATTTGGTTTTGGTGCCGTGAATCTTTAAACTGATTTTTACTATAGTATGGGCAATAATGTGAAAAAAGATTACGTTTTTTTGTATCAGCTCTAGTTTTATGGATATGGTACATTACAAAATTAGAAGTTTTAATATTTGAGATAATGAAGAAATATACATTGGAATATTCAAAGGAATATTATTACATTGTTAATTAAACTTCTTCCTCAGTATATTTGTTGTTCTCACTGTGTTATGTCATTTTATATTCCATACTACGATGAATACCATTTGTATATTATTCATCGTAGTGTGGAATTTGTTTACTGATAGCTCCAAGCGCCGTTTGAAATATGTTCTGCTTCACAATGGAAACAAGTTTGGGTCAATACCAATTGCTCATTCAACCGTGATGAAAGAAGAATATGCTATAATAGGTTTAGTTTTACAGAAGATAAAATGTAAATTTACGTAAACTTGAAAATTGTAGACTTTCTTCTTGGACAGCAAAGCAGCTACACAAAATATCCCTGCTTCTTGCAACATTATTGCCCAGTTTTTAGTCGAAGCAGAGAAAATAATTTTATCACCCCTCCATATTGAACTAGGCCTAATGAAGCAATTGGTTAAGGCACTTTATTCTAATGGACCATGCTTCGCCTACATAGGAAGGAAGCTGCATCAGATAAGTACGGAAAAACTTAAAGCTGGAATCTTTGATGGACCACAGATCAGATTTCTTACAAAGGATCCGGTTTTTGTGGGGTCAATGAATGAGGTAGAGAAAAAATGCTTGGCTTTCATTTGTAGACATTATCAAAAAATTCTCTGGAAAATCACAAAAGTAAAAACTATGCTGAGCTGGTAAACAATTTGCTGAATAACTTTCAATCACTTGGATGTAATATGAGCATCAAAGTTCACTATCCTCACAGCCACCTGGACTGTTTCTTTAAAAACTTAGGTGACACAAGCGAGGAGGAATGTGAGAGATTTCACCAAGACATAAACACCATGGAGAACCGCTAGCAAGGAAAATGGGATACCAGCAGATTTTTGCTGGATTTTGAAAAGAGATTGTTTAAAAGTTCATCCTATGAAATCACGCAAGAGAAGCTTTCGTTACGTCAAGTTTTTTTTTTATATTTTGTTAGTTTTTGTGTAAAAACTAATTGCATATCGATGGCTAAAGTTTAAAACCTATTAAAACCTATTAAGTCGACTTTTATAAATTTTACAGGAGAGACAAAAAACTGATTACTTTTTTTTATAAGGCGTTCCCGTTTTGGTGTTAGCGATATATAAACATTATAATTGCACCCATTTTTAATTCTGTGCAAGTACACTAAATTGGATTTGATTTTTCAAAAAAAAAATTGACTTACGAGGTTTTGTTGTATTTTTTTTAAAATCATTTTTCAACTTGAGATGTTTTGACATGAAAAGTATTATCCGGTTAAGGATTTTAATACAAAATTTTGTTTAATTAGATGATTAAAAAATATTAATGAAACAATACGAACACAACTAAAAACTTTATTCGACAGAAATACGTCGAAAAAAGAAATAAAAAAAGTTTGAGTTAGTGGGATAAGTTGTCGTAGAATAGTCTAAAATCTTCTGAAATATAGTTTCTTAATTCTTGAAGGTGTTTAAATTTATCAGGCTTAATTTTTAGAGGAGCGTTCAATCGCACCATCACAACGGTATGCCAGTGCTCTGAGATCAGTTACTTTAGGATCTCCCTTAGTATTGCCAGAACGAATTGAAGAAAATGTTTTGATTACCGAGTAATCTTTTAAAAAAGGATAATTTAAGTAGTCAACTTCATAAGGATCTTTTGCCTTAGCAGACCTACAAATGTCAACATAACATCCCGGTACGTACACGACACGATTTCTTAATTTTACGCTCAATACGAGTATTAATCGAGTCACACTCCATTTGAGTATGACCCTTTTCTAGATAATATTGAAATATTTCAACACCTGATGTTCTTGATAAGTAAGAAAGAGCATTTGAAAGCGTAACGTTTCGAGTTTAATAGCAGCATCCGTCGTTGAAGCAAACAACGGATTTAGTAGCCGGAGATAAATTTTCTTATAATATAATCTATGATAATGGAAGTGAACTCGTTTGCTTCAACCCCACCTGAACCCTCATGCCATACATAGCAATGGTCTTTGCCAGTGGATAAATTATAGAAGCTATAGTTGTGAACATTTAGCTTCATTTTATAATACGCAGCTGATACTTGTAATCTTGGTGCTGTTAATATTGCCTGTGCATCCATAGTCAAAACAAATTTACTGTTATCCTTACTAGCTTCTTCTTTTAGTTTTTTCCTTTTCAGCACGAGCTAAATTTTTTTTTCTCCAAATGCTGCTGAAACTGTTCATCATTTATTTTGCCGACAGAATGCCCAGTGCAAGTGTTGCACTGATCTTTCCTAAAAAAATAAAAATTTCTTGTTACAAAACAAAAATGTTTTCTATTGTTCTGTATGCTTAATTTCCTTTGGCTTAAATAAGGCTATACGTTGCTTATCGAGCTCCTGACGAAAAGTTGTATTATTCAGTTTGGCTATCTTTGCACCCACACATTCATTGGTATAAAATTTGTATAGTTCATTAACGCTGGTCCACTGTGTATCTAAATACAATTTATTAGTGTCTTTCCTACAGTAGTGGCTCTCCATTTTTGGAATTGTCTCTAAAAACTGGATTAGGAAGGCTTTATCTTCGTGATATCTTGCCTTTTCTTGAACTATTTTTAGTTTGAACTGCAATGTTAAACTGCAAAACATATTATAAATATTTTTTCTGTCGTTGTCTTCAAAAATATTGCAAAAAAATTTTAGAGTATCCTTGCGAATTCTTACATTGACATGGAAGTAGCATCTTTCGCTCGTCTCGTTCAATTTTTTTATACTTATTGTCATCTTTATCTAGTTTACAGGATTGGTATGATTGGTCCTTCATTCTTTTCAGTTTATTTTTATTTCATATTCCAGTTTAAATAATTGACGTCCGATTTCCTTGATCTTTTTCTCATTATTTGCTTTATTGTAATTTACACCATGCTCCCCATCTTTCGCTCGTCTCGTTCAATTTTTTTATACTTGTTGTCATCTTTATCTAGTTTACAGGATTGGTATGATTTCCCCTTCATTCTTTTCAGTTTATTTTTATTTCGTTTCCAGTTTAAATAATTGACGTCAAATTTCCTTGATCTTTTTCTCATTATTTGCTTTATTGTAATTTACACATGCCCTACTTTTTCAATGAATTTGAAAGAAAACAGACTTAACCTCAAACGATAAATAATAAAAATATAAGAAAAAGGCAAAAAAAGCACTTACCCATCTATATCAGCTTGCAACACTAAATTCAAAATTGTTTTTTCCACGACTACAAGACATATTTTTCAAAACAAAACAACAAAACTGCGTTTATTCACAAGATTAAAACACAAAACCTAAAAAAAAACACTTGCCGCATTCCGGTAATAACTCGCAACATTGTATTACTACATAAGATATCCCAGCAAGCGTAAATATAAAAAACTCGTAAGTCCTACTTAATAGGTTTCTGCTTTACCCTTTTTGCTAAAGAGTTTTTACCAGGTTTTTGATAGATAGCACTAGAGGTCTTAATGTTGAAATAGACTTATTAGGATTTGCAGTTTAATAGATAGCAATATATACAAATTATTGATAAATTAATCCCAAAACTAGAAAATTTTGACAAGAGGTTTTGCCACTTTAGCCATCGATATCTGTTTCATTGTACAAAGGGTTTTATTGTGGTTAAATGGCTTAAAATATACGTATTTTCTAATTGTGTGATTTTTATTTCAATTTAGTAAATCCATATCAGCATATTCGTATTTTAATGCATACAACCTGGCATGATCAACTTTATCTTGAAAACTAGAGCTGCTAGGGACAAAACGAAAGCCATATTCGAAATTAGCACCCCAAATATATAACGTAACATCAACTCTAAACACTTTGGCACCAAAAACCTGTGTTATTAATGTAATAATATAACAAGCCTCTTTTTTTAAATAAAGGTAGTTAGAAAGAGCAACAGAAAATCAACTACAGAAAGTTGTTGTATTAAGCTAAAACAACAAAAGTTGTTACTGGATTTTTATATTATTTTTTAACATTCAAAGTCAAATATCTCACTTTTACCTTTTTGAGGCTTGTCATTGTTTCATGTTAAGCCCTTCAATTATAAATTAAAATAAATTCGCTAAGAAGACAGAGAATATAGAAAATAATAAAGATAATACCACACATACATAAAAAAATATTTATATCGGGATTAGAGAGAAATCCTTGAGTTGCAACAAACCATTAAAATAATAAAATACTTACCACTGTAAAAATGTCCTGGTCTTGGATCCCACGGAGGTCTACTATAAGGTCTCTTGGGCGCCATCACTTCTTGTTCCCTTGGAGGTGTTAAATCACTTGGCAGCTGATGAAGAATAGGACCCGAATTTAATTGTAGTATTTCTCTGTTGGGTGTCGCTGGTTGTCTACTGGGTGGAGGCGGAGGCATAAAATCAGGATATTCAGGTTGTTTATCGTTAGGGAAAACAACCTTACTGGTTAATGTTTTTGTAGAATCTTGTAGACTTATTAAAGGGTTATCTAGTTCCAATTTTTCATCAAGCACTTGTCCAGGAGTTTGTTTGTTTATACCATTAACAGGGACACCGATGGCAAGAGAAGCCTCAGAGTTTCTTTGAGGTTGGATAGTTACAGCACTTCCAACAGTCTCTGAGGGGAAAGGATAGGGTACCTTGTAAAGTTATTTCCTTTTCGTCACTATCTAGTTTTACATCATTGCCATAATAAGGTCTAAAAGGATTACTGTCATAATAAACTCCATTAACATTTTGTTGGTTTCCTAAGACAAACGATACTGAATTTTGATCATGAGGTATGTGAACATTATTCTGACTTGGTATAGATGGTTTTTCGAATGGTCGTGGTATTACTTTCTCGCTGTTTAATTTTTCTCTGAGATTCTGTGTCGCCACTATTATTGGGTCTCGATGTTTAAAAGGCTCATAACCTGAAGTTGTTAAATGGTTTTCACCAAGTGGTAAGGATGTAACTTTATTAGTAGATGGTGGTGTAACGAACGATTTTTTAGTTGTGGTGGTAACAACAGGGTTTTCATCAGGATAATCGTAATAATCAGTACTTTTTACATATTTTACAGTAGTTACATCTGAGGATTTTTCAGTAGTATTTTTATGCAAAGGCTGTACTTTTAAATCATTCTCAATTGTCACTACAGGTTTACTTTCAACAGCAATATTATCGCCAATATCTTCATATTCATAATTGAATTCGGGTTCTGTAGAATAAACGTGTTTTCTAGGTGGATTACTAATATACGTTTTCATAGTAGTAGTTGTTGTTGTGGTAGTACTTGTAGTAGAAGGTTTTATAGTAGTTTTTTGTGTTTTCACTTTTTCTGTGGGCTTTGTAGTTGTAGTGGATGTTGTAGTGGTAGCAGAAATATCATCGTCATATTCTCCAAAGAGTTGTTCAAATAAACTTAACATTTTTTTAGTTGTTGTGCTTGTTGGTCTGGGAGTTGTATGGACAATTTTACGAAATTCTGTTGTACTAGGTGTCGAACGTTTAGTGGTTGTTGTACTTGGTTTTTTCGTAGTTACATCAACAGTCGTGTCATAATAATCTTCAAATTCTTCCGAGAATCCTACACCCATTCCTGTATTTAAAAGATTAATTGATTTAGTTGTTTCTTGTGGTTTTTGTGTTGTTGTGGTGGTTGTTCGTGTCGTAGTAGTTGTAGGGGTTGTTGTTGTATATGTAACTCTAAAGTATTTCTCCGTAGAATAATACGTTGGACTAACCAACGGTTTTTTCGTTGTCATTTTATTGGGATAATCTTTGTGGTTGTGAAATTTATTCACGCTTCCTTGATATTTTGTACTGGCGTAAGAGCTAGAAATCAAAGGATATACATATTTAGCTGAGTTATATTTGACGGGCAAGTTCAAAAAGTCATGAAAATTGGGAATTAATTGGTTAACATCACTTGGGCGATGACTACTTAGACTGCCATCTTTACGATCTATATTTGCTTTGTCATAAATATTCGAGCTGTTTGGTTCATCTACATAATCGTACAAGTCGTCATCAGTTTTCGCAACAGGAGATTTTTGCTGAAAATCAATTTTTCCTGTTAAAGAATCCTTTTCTGCGTAAAAAGGTTTGCCGTGATTGAAAATATTCTCTGGTAAATTATATCCAGGCAGAACAAGAGGTGATGGATCGGGAATTTCTTCAGATAATGGTTTATTTTCCTTGAAATGTACCTAAAATTATTTAAGATTTGTTAATACACATTATTTATTTAAAGTACTTTTATCAAATAAAAAGTAAAAATACACGGATAATGAAAATGAGCAAATTTAGTATCTTTTAAATGTCCATTTCCGGCATCATAAAAGTTGACTCAGAAAAATGTTGTGCATTTAAACTGTACTCTAACTAACTTTTTGGTTCTCACAAAGTCAAAGACGTTTGACTAATACAAAACAGTGTGACCAAATGACAAAGCCTAAAGACTCCTTCAAGCCAGCCATGTTCTAGAATATTTATCTAAAGCTGGGAGACAGGAGAAATTAACGTTTATACCAAAACTTTAGAAAACACATTGTACTCTAATAAAATCATAAGAATTAGTGGATCTGACCATGGATGTTGAAAACAATGGAAATAAATAAATTACTACAGTAAGAATAAAAATTTTACGGGAAATATTTTGCGCCCACTGCAAAAGCTTCATCATCATCATCATCTTGGTGCTACAGCCCTTAGAGAGCCTCGACCTTCTCAGCTTTCTATGCCATTCTGTTCCGTCTCTTGCTTGCATTTTCCAGTTGCCGACCCCGATCTTCTCCGTATCTTGTGCTACCCCATCCATCCACCTCAGCTTTGGTCTACCCCGTCTTCTCATTCCCACGGGTTGCGCTGTTAGAATCTTTTTTATCATGTTCGATTCAGGGGCCCGGGCTACACAGGTTGGGCTACATGTCCTGCCCACTGCAGGCAGTTTCGCTTAATTATAGTGGTAGTAACTTTACCGCCAAACGTATGATTGTTGATATTCTGCAGTTCAAAGTTCTCTCTACGCCTCCATATTCCGTTCTCACAGACCGCTCCGAATATCTTGCGTAGCACCTTTCTTTCAAAAATCGATAGAGCGGATTCATCTGTTTTAGTTAGCGTCCATGCATTTGATATATATATATATATATATATATATATATATATATATATATATATATATATATATATATATATATATATATATTATATTATATATATATGAGAACGGGGACTGTCAGTGTTCTATACAGCCTTATACGAGTTTTTTGAGACAGACGTTTGTTAGCTAAGTACTTTGATAGACCATGATAACACGTGTTTGGAATTATTATTCACCTTTTTATTTCCTCAGATGTGTTATTATTGGGGTTAACCGATGTCCCTAGATATATGAACTCTTTGACTGCTTCGAAGTTTTGGTCATTGATGATTAAATTTGCGTCAACATTTTCAGCTCTTGTGTTTGTGTTATTCGCCATGAATTTGGTTTTATTTTTATTTATATGTAACCCCATTCGTTCTGCTGCTGCTGCTATTAGCTCGGTTGGGATTTCCGCAGTTCTCGCCCTAGTTCTTGTTATAATGTCCACGTCGTCTGCATATGCTAGAATTTGGACTGATCTATTAGATATTGTTCCCCTGTTATCTAAATTAGCGTCTTGTACAACTTTTTCTAAGGCGACATTAAAAAGCTGACACGCCAGCGCATCTCCCTGCCTTAACCCCATATGCATTTCAAATGGGGTTGACGAGTGGTTTTGAATTTTTACTGCTGATAGCATCTTCGCCATTGCCACTTTTATCAAACATATGAGTTTTTTTGGAATTCCTAACTCATTCATAGTGTTGTAAAGACTTGGTCTTAAGACACTGCCGCTTTAAAATCGACAAAAATTTGATACATATCTATGTTAAACTCTTGCGCTTTTTCGAGGATCTGTCGTAGTGTAAAGATCTGGTCAATGGTTCAACGTCCACATGAAATGGTCTGAGTCAACATTTGCGCCTTTGTAACTTCTGACGTCCATTAGGTTTGTATAGTACCTTCTGTCAATTATAACATGGTCAATTTGATTTGTGGTGTGTCCATTTGGTGATATCCAAGTTGCTTTATGTATATTCTTATGATTAAAACATGTACTTCCCACAATTAAATCTTTGGAAGCTGCCATACTAATAAGCCTTAAACCATTGTCATTAGTAACGTCGTGAAGGCTGTGTTTACCAATATAATCTTGGTAGCATATCTCTTTTCCTATCTGGGCGTTCATGTCTCCAATGATTATTTTAATATCGTTTTTGGGACAGTTATCATATGCTCTTTCGAGATCTTCGTAGAATAGATCTTTAATTTCTTCGTCTTTTTCCTCGGTTGGCGCGTGCACTTTGATCCGGCATATGTTGAAAAATTTTCCTTTTATTCGAAGGATGCATAACCGATCATTTATGGCTTTAAAACCAATAATAAAATTTTTGATTTTCTTTGATACTGCAAAAGCTTATCTAGGAGAAAAGTCAGTAGAAGCCGCTCTATATAATGTGGTGTTGAGTCATGAGCGGTATTTACACCAAAACGACGTAGTTTCTGCTACATTCTTAGACATTGAAGGCGCATGAGATAATATCTTTATCGGGTACACAGAGTACTAATGGGGAAGACAATTGATCAAATAACATTAAGATGGATAAGTGAAATGCTTCAATGCAGCTTTCTATTTAAAAGCAACGAAGGGATGACTCGCAAAGGAATACTATTGCCAATGCTATGAAACATTGTATGATTTTTGATGATCTCATTTTAGGATTAGGTTAGATGAGTTTTATTTATAGAGAAATAAGTCAGAACTAGTGATGCTAAACATCTTGGGGTGATCTTGGATTCTAAGCTCACCTCGAATAATATGTTTCCTCTGTGAATGTGAAATACTTAGTAAAATGAGATGGGTATCTCAGTAGTAAAACAAGTATTGAGCCAGGACAAGTCCTTTAACTTCTATTACAAGGATATCGATGAGATTGCAGACATATAAAGGTTTTATAAAGTTCTTTACAACGTCCTTTACACAATTATAGCCATACTCTAAAATGAGTCAGGTGAATACTTTTCTGAGTGTGACACAAACCTGATATCACTAGACACATGGCAGCATATTGGAGTGGCTACTTATATATAACTTATAGCTCTAAGGAAAACTGGCGTGTAATTAAAGAAGTGGTAGATCAAAACAAAATCAAATAAGAAATAAAACTCATTTGAGTCATATAAATCTCCGTATATGGACGAAATTTATCTAATACTTTTACAGAGGGAAATCACTTTCCGTACAAAAATTTACGTATGATATTACAGATTAGCTTAGAACTGGGATATATCCCAAAAGCATGTAAGCTTATAAGGGTAAATTTTATATCCAAACCTGGAAAAACCAGGTCAGGAAAAGGCTACGGTCATTTGTAGTGAAATCTCTCGAAAAACTGCTTGGAGGCACATTTGGTATGGTGCATTGATAAGAAGTTCGATACATTACAGACTGTATGCGTATAGAGTAGAATTCTCTACGGAAACGTCACTGCACCATCTCGTACAGAAAATGGGGTAAGTTCTTAAGAAGAAAGATTTGACGCTGAGTGTATTTCGCGATATAGAGAAAGCATCATAAAACACTTACTACAAAGAAATCACAGGAGTTATTTTTATAAAGGAAATAGGCGAAACAAGCTGCAGCTAAATAGACTTCATTCTGAAAAGCCGTGTGATATACGCAAAGAGTACTAGAAATAAAGTGTGAACACAGACAACCAGAGGATCTTCTCCGGAGAGTCTTATCTCCTCCCTTGTGGAATCGAGTCATGATGGGCTGGTCACTAGACTCAGCAACGACCATGCAGATGACCTGGCCATCTCAGCTCACACAAAAATTTATTGACACAGTCAGAGGTCAAATGCATCAAGCCCTGACTGTAGTTACATAATAAACTTCAAATATAAAGCTTAAGAAACTAGAACTAGCGCCCCAGAAGTCCAAAATAATAAAATTTACTAGGAGGAATTTTGGGGGATTGGGCCCTTAAAGCATAAATGGTACAAATCTAAATCTGGTGAGTAAAGTTAAGTATCTTGAAGTATTTGTAAGTCTCTTTTAGATTCAAGGCTTACTTGTAGATTAAAGAAATAACCAAGAGGATGGTGACAAGGTTAATGGTAGCCAGACCCACTCTTGATTTAACTATGTTTCCAAGTGAATATAAGCTTACGGGACCGATAGGTTAGAAGAAACATACAACCCAGGATGCATGGTTATACCTCGTAAATAGACGAGTATAAAACTGCAGAAGGGTTTGATTTAGGAATATTCAGTAGTGGTAGAAATTTAAACATTTCTATTCCACTAGGAGGATATACCTCTGCATTATAGGCAGAAATTTATACAATTTTGCATTTTGCAGGAGAAATTGACATGAGGGCTTTGGTCACCGGAGAATACACATCAATAAACTTACCAGAAAAGGATCAGCTACAAAATAATTGGTCTAGAACCCGCCGTATGAGTACAAAAAGCACAGTTTGCAACCAGATAAAAGCCTGCAACCAGATAAAAGTCTGCAACTAGATAAAAGTCTGGATCCATAGGCAAGTTAACCCTCACTGGAAAAATATATCCGATCAAGCACAAAACATATTGTATATTGAGTGAACATGTGCTAATATGGCTGAAGTACTACGGAAAATAAGCAGGAATAACATCGAAATAAAAACAGGCTTCCTTAATGGACATGCGCCACGCGTCACTCAATTGATTGCATACGGATTGTGGCTATTTCATACGAAGATTTAAGCTTCAGATTCAGATGATTACCAATGAACGGGTAGATATGGCACCCCAAGAATAAGCATGCTTAGATTAGAAAATGTATGGTCACTATTCTATATTCGTACGCAACTCCTAAGTTATCTAGTTCTGTACAAAAAAAGAAATTATAAATAGTTTTTAATAATTAAAATATTTTGATGGTACACAAGGCAAATATCGAACACAGTATTTAATTAAATCTTGCCCAAGTACTTTCGATCACAAGATCATCCTCAGGGGCATTTCGTCAATTGTGGCCTATCCAGCAATAATGGAATGTCATACATGTAAACTGGGACATAACAAATACACTAAAGACAAACAAACACTTTAAAATTTAAATTGGAGAAGCTACATTTTTATATTATAGAAGCCGGAGACAGAATGGCTCCCAGCCTGTTCTTAGACAGCTTAGAACAGAAGTTTGTTAACAACAACAACAAAATAGTTTTTTGGTCAAGATATGTGGATGATTGTATAGCTCTCATTAAGGGAACCCAAGATGATGCTCTACAGATTCTGGATGATCTCAATAACCTCCATCCTAACATCTCTTTTACTCTGGAACCAGAATCTGACAATAAGTTGAACTTCTTGGATATGACTATATCCCGTAACAAAGA